GGTGGGGGTCGCTAGGAAGGGTTGGTGGGAGGGGGTAAAGGGGGGTTTTGTGTGCGAGGGGCTTGCATTTCCAGCAGGCATGCGTGAGCGTGTTTGATAGGAGTGAATGGAGACAAATGGTTTTTAATACTTGCGTGCTTTTGGGAAATTTGTGAGCAAAGTAACTTTATGAAGGGATTCAGGGAAACCGGCGGCCGGACTTGAGTCCTGGAGATGGGAAGTACAGTGCCTGCACTCTGAAGGAGGGGTGTTAATGTTGCAGTTTAAAAACTGTAGTGTAAAGCACCCTTCTGGCAAGACAGTGATGGAGTGAATGATGGTGAAAGTTTTTCTTTTTCGGGCCACCCTGCCTTGGTGGGAATCGGCCGGTGTGATAATAAATAAATAAAAAAACATTGCCTTCAGACATGACATCTCCACTGCCTCCAACCTCCTTCTCACTGCCACATTTACAACCCAAGCTTCTCACCCGTACGTATAAGTGTTGTTGTTGCTATTATTATTATTACTATTATTATTATTTAAACACACCGGCCGTATCCCACTGAGGTGGGGTGGCCCAAAAGGAAAAACGAAAGTTTCTCCTTTTAAATTTAGTAATACATACGGGAGAAGGTTTTTACTAGCCCCTTGCTCCGGCATTTTATTTTCCCTCTTCGAACACGCATGGTACAGACGAAGAATTCTGTTCCACTTCCCATCTGCTGCTGCTGCTGCGCGGGGGGCCCTGCGGCGGCGGCGGCTGCGGCTGCTGCTGCGGCTGCAGCTGCGGCTGCTGCGGCTGCGGCGGCTGCGGCTGCTGCGGCGGCGGCTGCTGCGGCGGCGGCTGCTGCTGCGGCGGCTGCTGCTGCGGCGGCTGCTGCTGCGGCGGCTGCTGCTGCGGCGGCTGCTGCTGCGGCGGGGGCCCGGCGGCGGCGGCTGCTGCGGCTGCTGCGGCTGCTGCTGCTGCTGCTGCTGCTGCTGCTGCTGCTGCTGCTGCTGCTGCTGCTGCTAAGGAAGTAATGCAACAGGAAATTTTTTAAAACAGTTTGTAATGATAATGATGCATGTAAGATTTTTACTAAATCTTCAGGTCAAAGAAAATGATGATGACTGTGAAGAGAGAGTGCACTTGCTGCAGGAACTCTTCAAGCCAGGCCAGTATGTAGTTACCCGAGTGCTACACGTTGAAGATGTTAACAACAAATTTAGAGGGTTTGTCACAGGTGATAAATTATCTGAACATCTCAGTTTGGAATACTCAACATTAAATTTTTCTACCTTGAAGATTGGAAGTTTTCTGGAGTTCATTGACTAGTGTAAGTAAATTTAATAAAATATAATACTGTACATGAGTAACCTGCATGTAGGAGAAAGGAGCTTATGACAATTTTTTGGTCTACTTGGACCATTTACAAATTTTAACTTTAACATTGTCATAAGCTTCTTTTTCTTATGTGTGGGTTATTTGTGTGTTATTCCAGTCTCTGTATTGTGCCTTTTTGTTCTTTATGATGCTGCATTGTACATAGTTTTGTATCAAATTTAATGGTTAATGTTTCTATTTCAGTGGGAATCTGACATTGGCTCCCCAAGAAGTAAAATTTGCGGTCCATGTATCAAAAACTTGAGGTTGGCTTTTTTATTGTCTTGTGCTGTGTCAAGTGTAGAAGATAATGGGTTTGTTATGGATACTGGTATTTCTGGTGTTAGAGCAGCTTTTTTGAAGGACACAGCAACAGATGGTGCAGGTAAAGTACTGTTAAATGCATGCCCTCATTTCCAGCCAAAGAATAAAATTTCATAAATTCATATTTTCCAGCATATAAGGTGTACTTTTTCCCCACAAAAAAACCTTGGAAAAATCGGCTTGTGTCTTGTATGCTCAAGGTCAGGGTGAAGGGTAGGCTTTGGGTTATGTTTTAGCAGTTGTTTATTAAGTTACATTACAACTGCTTGGAAACATCATGCCAGCAAGCAGCAGACACTCGTGCGCCATATATGCTGGAAAATTTGGTGAGTTGTTTTTAACCCGTAAACGGTCCAAACGTATTTTTTTTTTTTTTATTATCACACCGGCCGATTCCCACCAAGGCAGGGTGGCCCGAAAAAGAAAAACTTTCCCATTTTCCAACTATTCATTGTCTTGCTGGAAGGTGTAAAATAATGTTTTTAAAACGGGAACATTTTAACACGGGCCCCAGAGTGCGGGAAACTGAAAATTCCCATTTCCAGGTTTTTCAAAATCTTTCCGCTTGGTTCTTTTCCCCAAACCTTAAAATGGTTTCTTTGCTCAACCCCAAAAGGACGTTAAGTTTACCAAGTTGTTTATTACTACTTCACAATCAAACACAGCCTCAAACGCATGCCTGCTGTGGGATATTTCTTTTTGTTTTTTTTAACTTTAAAGTATAAATTTTTATTTTTTTTTTTTCCCCGGTATATTTAAAAGGTGGGGGTAAAAAAAAATTTCACCTTTTCATACACATGTGCCAAAAGATTGCTTGCCACATTTTTAAAACGAATTAAGCCCCCAAGGAGACTTTTCTCTCCAGACTAAGTGGCGCCTTCCCCTAAAAAACCCCTTAAAAGAATTCTAATTTTAACACAGTAAATTTAAAAACAGTTATAATCCACAAAAACTACTCATTGTAAAATTTTTTTTTTTTTTACTTTTATTTTTCATTTTTTTTTTTTTATTTTGAAAATTAAAAAAACATGTCAATTGTAGCACTCAACATGTGAACACCCAGATTGTGGACATTTCGTTAAATCCATGAATTTTTGCTTTTCCAAAATGTAGTGACCCTCTTAATATTTAAAAACCCTTTATTGAAAAAATTTCTTAAGAATTGCTTCTATGAATGTGCAGAATTATCCTTTTTCCTAGTATTTTACTCCATGCAATTTTTATTGCTGATATCTTTTTAACCAAATTTTTTTATTTCTTTTTTTATCATTTTCTTGAGCATTAGATTTTGAAAAAACATTCAATATACATGTACAGTGGACCCCCGGTATTCGATGGCATGGGGAAATTTCGTAAATCCAGTATTCGATGCATTATATCGCAAAAATTTTGCCTGGATCCAAATCGAAAACCCGGTATTCAAATACGATTCTACGGATGTGTCCACGTGGGCCTGAACTGCCCCGTGTGTGCCAGTTTACAAGCCAGCCATGTGCGCATCTCGGATACATCGGTACATTCTATATTATCCATATTACACTGTTTTGGTGCTGTTTCTGCAAATAATCACCATGGCTACAAGAAACTTCTAGTGCCAACCCTTGGTAAAAGGGGTGAGAATTAGTAGGAATTGAAAAATTTGAAGGTTTGGGCTAACCCCTGAGAACCTATGCCAGTTGTGGAATCCATTGTGCCACATCAAGATTAAGGAAATGTGTGCAAAGTGGTTACTGAAAACCTTTAAGATAAGTAAAAAGATTTCGTTCGGATTTTTAACCCGGAGGTTTAGCCCCCCAGGATAACCCAAAGAAAGCCCAGTGCGTCATCGAGAATGTCTAACTTATTCCATTGGGGTCCTTAATCTTGTCCCCAGGTCGACCCACACCAGTCGACAAAACACCCAGGTACCTATTTGCTGCTAGGTGAACAGGACAACGGGTGTAAGGGAAAAACGTGTCCGAAATGTTCCACCCCCCGGAATCGAACCCGGCCCTCCGTGTGAGCGGACTTAGCCACCGGCCACCGCTATGCAAGCCGCTGAGACTATACAATACAATGTTTGTCCATTTAAAACAAATCTTAAAGGAACGGGATACAGGCCACTATGACAGATATGTTTGCGACAGAAATCGTGACTCAAGCTGTCCTAGGCATTAAAGAAGAAGGGAAGTAACCCCAAAAAGGGACTTGTTTACCTAAAGGGTCCTAATGGAAGGGGATTCCCCTTCTAAACACTAACACCTCTCCCCTCCTCCCATCCCATCAATCATCACCAGATCTTCATTAAAGGTAAGTGTCAATTATTTTATTGTTATTGTAATTATTCTATTGCATTAAACTTAATACTTCATGTAGTAAAAAATTTTTTTCATACTTTTGGGTGTCTTGCACGGATTAATTTGATTTCCATTATTTCTTATGAGGAAAATTGATTCGCTTTTCGATATTTTCGGTATTCGATGAGCTCTCAGGAACGGATTAATATCGAATGCCGGGGGTCCACTGTATTTATATTTTCATTTTGATTCTTTGAGCATCAGTATAATTCATCATTATGAAATATTAATACGTACTAACTTCCTATCTCAATAATTTAGGAGAAATGCAAGAGTAAACCCTTTGCAACTACTAGATGTCTGTCAAACTACCATTTGCAGTCTTGGGAAATTTTTCTTGGGTTACAGGTGTTGGTAAAAAGGGGTAGGAATGATGAGACCTCCAGTTCCAGTACATTTGAACTTTTTTCCTGATATTTTCAGCATGGATCTGGTATAAACCTTGGTAATAAATACCGACAAGTTGGTTTAGAAAGACACATAAGCAAACATTATGACATATTTATTGAAAATGTTTCGGTCCTGGGACCTTGATCATTTCTAAACATACAGAGGTAGAAAGACATTATATGTGGGTTTGGAGAGTGAGGTTTTATGACGCATCGTGACCTGAAGAATGCCATGTTGGGATGAGGACGGTAGACAATGAGATCATGTGACTCCTGTGTTGTTGGGTTGGTGGTGCTAAGCCTGCTTAAGTATCATGTATGCTAATGTTTTTGAAATTTTGTGGTTTCCAGTGTTACGTTCTGTTGTGTCGGTGACAGCGATTAGTGAGGCTTCTAGGCACCGTCGCATCTGAGGCCTGGTTCAGTGAGAATGAGTTGTGCCTCATTCCAGTTCATCAAATGCCCCGTGGAATCCCCTGTGGGGGACACAGGCGTACCTTAAATCGTCTCTGTCGATGGTGTAGATACCTGCTGTAGAAGGGTTTGAGTGTAGGCTGCATTTTTGTAGTGAGGTCTTTGATAGATGGATGTGTGTATGGTGGGAATTTTTGATGTTTCTCATAGCAAGTGCCAAAAATCAGAACAAGGCAAAAAACTACTTAAACTTTACCAGGTCAAACCCAAACAGCACACCTGTATGACCTTCCTAAGACACACAAGCCTGGCATCCCCTACATCCTATCACTTCGGGCAAAAGGGAGTTTCACCACACAGACTAGCCACCACCTTGCCAAATACCTTTTAGCACTTCGGGCACTATCATCAAGCCCACCTCAAACACTCAGGTGACCTACTCTCCCAAATTTCCAACCTGACTGTTTAAAATCAAAAGCAGGCTTCCTTCGAATGTCACAGCCCTCTTTACCAACGTTCCTACTGATGCGCAGTAAACATTCTGAGACAGAGGCTCACTGAAAAAACCCTTTACCTTCCTTTACCTCTTCTAGATTTTCATCAGTCTAGTGGATCTTGTGTTAATTTCAACTTCGTCAAGTACAGGACAACTGTTTTCAAACAGTGCTTTGGGGGGGCAATGGGCACCCGCTCAGTGCTGTGCTTGCCAACCTCTTCATGGAAAACCTAGAGACAGAGAAATTCACACCCTCATTCCCAACACCTTACCTGGCTAAGATACATTTATGATATATTGGTTTTCTATCCGAATGTCTCAATATCCAGGCCCTTCTCAACAAGATCAATGCAGCCGAAACCATCAATACAGTTTACACTTGAACTCAAAAATGATGGGAAACTTCCTTTCCTCGACGTTCTCCTGTGCAGATCTCCCGACAGTAACAAAATTCTCTTCAAAGTGAAAAGAAAATCTACCAACAAGGATGATCTTATACACTTTTACTCACACCCAAAACACCCGCACTAAAGGAGGAGCCCTCATTGGCTTTTTCTTGAGAGCTCTTTGCATCTCCATCCCTTTTTTTTCTTGAAGAAGAATTATTTACATAACACAAGCCTTTACACGTCTTCAGTTCCTATCTTTCTTCAGCCGAGATTGCAGACTCAAGGCACAAGCTATCCTCCGAACCGCCATGGAACACCCCTCTAAGCAGTTCATAGTGCTCCCATGTGGTGATGTTGCCACGAATACTCGCCGGACACTTGCGTGAGTAACATCAACATTTCCACCATAAACACATCATCTATCAAAGACTTATACAAAACGCAAACCCCACACCTCCTAACTTCTACAGCAGGCCCTCTACACTATCCCCTGGGATTCTGTCCCAAGAAATATGTAGGTGAGACAGGCAGAGATCTTGCGGTCCTCCTGAATAAGCATCGAAGTGCCTGTAACAGAGACGATTTAAAACCCTTTGACTGTTTCGGTCGTATATATACATCTTACGTGCCACTGTTTCTGACGTATTTATACGCGTAAATTCTAGCGGCTTCAAATCGAGCAGGAGAAAGCTGGTAGGCCCACATGTGAGAGAATGGGTCTGTGTGGTCAGTGTGCACCACATAAAAAAAATCCTGCAGCACGCAGTGCGTAATGAGAAAAAAAAAGTCTGTTTTTTTGGATTAAAACGCCGACTTTGAGGTGTATTTTTGTATAGTATTTATTGTTGTATTCTCGTTTTCATGGTCTCAGGTGATAAAATGGAAAACATATCACAGAAATAGAGATGATTTTGATTACTTTCATGATGAAAACAACCTTGAAATTGAGCTCAAAGTAGTGGAAATGTTCGATTTTTACCAATGTTCAGGAGTAAGCAAATCACACCACACATCCAATACACTTTAACTGGGGAGTCTAATATTCTTTCACTAGTGCACTGATATTATTTATACCATTTTTGCAATAATGCAGTAGTCTGCATAACAGTAAATTTTTTATTTTTTTGTATGAATAAAAAATCAAAATAGAAAGCAATAGTAGTATAAGAGGGGCCTAGAGATGTGACTAATGAACAGAGGATATGTTATTTTAGTGCCAAGATTGTCTACATTGTTTATTCTGGACCCTATTTTGAAATTGGCATCTTTTTTTAATTTGCATGAAATTGGCCAAATTGCCAATTTCTGACCACTTGATTGGGTAGTTCAAATCGGTAAATGGGCGGTTTCTTGTACTCAACTGATAGAAAGAATGGAGTTCTAAAGAAATAGCTATGAGTTTGGTCAACTGGAAGAATGGAATTGGCCAAAAACAGGGCTCAAAATCGCCAAATCGCCGATGCGTATATGTCACTGAGATCGCTAACTTCGCGGGAGTGTAATTCTGTGAATTTTCGACCAAATTTCATACTTTTGGTGTCATTACCATCGGGAAAAGATTCTCTGTCATTTCATAAGAAAAAAATATTTTTTTTTTTCCAAAATTTATCGACATAGAATGACAGTTTCAGAAAAGGGCCTGCAACAGTCAAAGGATTAAGGTATGCCTGTGTCCTCCACAGAAACTCCATGGGGCATTTGATGAACTGGAATGAGGCACAACTCGTTCTCACCGAACCAGACCTCAGACGCCGACGGTGCCTAGAAGCCTCACTAATCGCCATCACTGACACAATAGAACGTAACACTGGAAACCACAAAATTTCAAAAACATTAGCATACATGATACTTAACCCTTTGAGGGTTTCGGACGTACTAGTACGGCTTACGACCCAGTGTTTTTGACGTACTAGTACGCCTAAATTCTAGCGCCCTCAAATCTAGTGGGAGAAAGCTGGTAGGCCTCCATATGAAAGAATGGGTCTATGTGGTCAGTGTGCATGGTATAAAAAAAATCCTGCAGCACACAGTGCATAATGAGAAAAAAAAATCTTATTGTGGCTAGCTGGTCTAGTGGCTAACACGACGGGCTGGAGTTTTGAGACTATGACCACGGGTTCAATCCCGGCCGGGGGTATGGTTTGGTTTGACCGTTTTTGGGGAATAAAACAGCGACTTTGCACTGTATTTTCGTATGGTATTTATTGTTGTATTCTAGTTTTCTTGGTCTCATTTTATAGAATGGAAGGCATATCACAGAAATTGAGATGATTTTGACTGGTTTTACAATGAAAAGTACCTTGAAATTGAGCTCAAAGTAGCAGAAATGTTCGATTTTTACCAAAGTTCAAAAGTAAACAAATCATTCCAAGCGTCCAATACACGTCAACTGGTGAGTCTAATATTCTTTTGCAAGTGCGCCAATATGATTCATACCATTTTTTACACTAATGCAGTAGTCTGCATAACAGTAAATCTATTTTTTGTGAGAATAAAAATTCAAAGTGGAAAGCAAAAGAATGTAAGAGGGGCCTTGAGATGTGACTAATGAACAGAGGAAATGTCATTTTAGTGCCAGGAATGTATTTCTTGTTTGTTCTGGACCAGGAGGCCTGGTCACAGACCGGGCCGCGGAGGCGTTGACCCCCGGAACTCTCTCCAGGTAAGGTAAGGTATTCGGAAATTGGCATCTTTTGAAATTTGTGTGAAATTGGCAAAATTGGTAAATTCTTACCACTGTACTGGATAGTTGAAATTGGTAAATGGGTGGTTTCTTGCACTCATTCAATAGAAAAAATGGAGTTCTAGCGAAATATTCGTGTTTTTTGTCGACTAGTACAGTGGAACTGGCTGAAAATGGGGCTCAAAGTGGGCAAAATCGCCGATCCATAAGCATCGCCGAGACCGCTAACTTTGCGAGAGCATAATTCCGTAAGTTTTCCATCAAATTTCATATTTTTGGTGGCATTATGATCGGGAAAAGATTCTCTATCTTTTCATAAGAAAAACTTATTTTTTTTTTTTTTAAATTTGGCCAACCCTGAGAACGAGTCTTGGAGAGGGCCTGTCGACCCTCAAAGGGTTAAGCAGGCTAAGCACCACCAACCCAACAAGACAGGAGTCACATGATCTCATCATCTACCCGTCCTCTTCCCAACATATTCTTCAAGTCAACATGCATCACTCACACCGCACTCTCCGCCTATATATAATGTCTTTCTACCTCTGTATGTTAGAAGTGATCATGGTCCCAGGACTGAAACGTTTTCTAATATGTCATAGTGTTTGTTTACATGTCTTTCTAAACCAGCATGGGATCTATTAATATTTTTATTATTATTATTAACACTGGCCGATTCCCACCAAGGCAGGGTGGCCCGAAAAAGAAAAACTTTCACCATCATTCACTCCATCACTGTCTTGCCAGAAGGGTGCTTTACACTACAGTTTTTAAACTGCAACATTAACACCCCTCCTTCAGAGAGTTATTAATTGTAATTACTTATGTTGCTAATGATAGTTATATCAGTATGTTGTGATAGTTATTTAATTCTAATTACTTATGCTGCTAATGAAAGTAATATCAGTATATTGTGTGCAAAATTGCAACTGTTATTATACCTTCATTAACATGTTCATCTCCAGGAATTGTTGGAGTGGGTAGTATTGTTCGCTGCATTGTAACCCACATTACGAGAAGTGATGATACATACACACGACTGCAGCTCAGTGCTAATGCAGAAGCTGTCAGGAAGGCCACTCTCAGTATCACTGATACAACTAACCTGTCTCTTCTACTGCCAGGCACTGCAATTAACACTTCTATATCAAAGGTATGTTGACCATATGGTGTGGTAGTCTAGTTACTTATTTGTGATTGCTAAGGTTTTGAGTCACAGCTCCTCTGTGCATGTGTGCGTGTGCACATGCATGCATTGTGGTAGTTTTCTACAGTGGTCAGTAATCCTACTACTGTTCAGTGATCCTCTGTTCTTTTGTTATTGGATTTAGAGATTTATCTTTATTAAGAGCATGACAATCCTCAATATGGTAACTCCAACATAACACCAGGTGTATTAGAGATTAATTTTCATTTTATTTCACCTGTTTATGTAACGGTCCGTATGCCTTTATCCAAAATTCTGAAATTTGAAAAGTTCTGAAAACTGAAGATTTTTCGTGGAGGTGTATAAGTAGTAGGTTGGTAGACAGCAACCACCCAGGGAGGTACTACCGTCCTGCCAAGTGAGTGTAAAACGAAAGCCTGTAATTGTTTTACATGATGGTAGGATTGCTGGTGTCTTTTGTCTGTCTCATAAATATGCAAGATTGCACGTATGTCTTGCTACTTCTACTTACACTTAGGTCACACTACACATACATGTACACATTTATTTATACACACTCATCTGAGTTTTCTTTGATTTTATCTTAATAGTTCTTGGTCTTATTACTTTTTCTTTTATATCCATGGGGAAGTGGAATAAGAATCTTTCCTCCGTAAGCTATGCGTGTTGTAAAAGTCAACTAAAATGCCTGGAACAATGGGCTAGTAACCCCTTTTCCTGTAAAGATTTTCTAAAAAAAAATTAAAAAGAAAAAGGGCAAAGTGGGGGAAGGGCTGAATGTGCGTGGGGGTTGAAAGATATTGTGGATGTTATTTAATGAGGAAAAAAGCTGGTGGTTTCCCGGCTTTTAAATGAAACAAAGCTGAAGGGGGGGGGAGAGTTTTTAATGGAGAGGGAAAAAAAGGGATTAGGTCAGGGGATTTTAAATTTGGTTAGAGCTAAAGAAGGCTTTGGCCCCCCCAAAAAATTTTGAAAAGGGTAAGCTATGGCGGAAAAGAGGGGCTTTAAATTATTAATTCAAGGATTATGTGGAGTAAAATAAAAATTGGTATGAAAAAAATGGTTTTAATAAGCTGTATGCACCCCGGAGAAGAGGAAGGTAGAGGAGAGAGAAGATTTTTGGGGAAAGGGGTTGGGGGAATGTTGTGGGGATTTTTTTAATATTTTAGAAATTAAAGGTGGTTGGGGGTTTTTTAATTTCTTAAAAGGGGGAAAAAAATGTTATGGAGGGGGTATAGGGAAATTGGGTGCCCCAAAGGGGAAAATGTAAATGGGGAAACCTTTTAAATTTAGCTATGTGTAGAAAGGATTTTTAATAAGTAAAGCATTTTTTTTACGAGGAAGTGAGGTCAAGTTTGGTAAAGTAGGAAAGAGGGAAATTATTTTTCCCCGTAAAATAGGCCCTTTGACAAGGATGTGTGGGTGTCCCCCCGTGGTTTTTTAATATATTTATAGATGGGGTTTTTAAAGGGGAAATAAATGCGAGGGGCTTTGGCAAGAGGCCTGGAGTTAAAAAATAAAGAATCACACACAAAAGGGGAGTTTTCCCCAGCTGCTCTTTGCTCTTGGGGGAAATTTTGAAGAGAAGTTTTCAGAAGTTGGGGGGATGAATTTGGGGGGGGGGGTGCAAAAAAAAAAAAATTTTTAAAAAATTTTCAAAAAAGAGTAAGGTTATGAGGGTAACAAAAAGATTAGGTGATGAAAGATTGAAAATCAGATTTGGGGGGAGAGAGTATGGAGAGTGAATGTATTCCAATATTTGGGAGTGGACGTGTCAGCAGATGGGTCTATGAAAGATGAGGTGAATCATAGAATTGATGAGGAAAAGGTGAGTGGTGCCTTAGGAGTCTGTTTGGGGACAAAGAACTTTTTCCTTGGAGGCAAAGAGGGGAATGTATGAAAGTATAAGTTTTAACCAACAGCTCTTATATGGTGTGAAGCGGTGATGAATTTTCAGCGAGGAGAAGGGTTTGGGGATGGGATGCATTCGAGGCAAAGGTGGTGTGAAAAAAGCAGGGGAATTCGTAGTTTGGAAAAATTTGGAGGGGTGCGGGGTTACCCAAAAAGTTGCCAGAGGTGAGGAAGGGTTTTTGAGGGGGTTCAGACTGTAAGAGAATGGAGCGAAACAAATGACTTCAAAAAGTTTACACTGTATGGAAGGAAGGGGGGGTAGGGGTGGGCCCAGAAAGGTGGAGGAGGGGGGAAAGGAGGTTTTGGGGGCAAGGGGGTTGACTTCCACAGGGAAAGCGTGACGTGTTTGATAGGAGTGAATGGGGAAAAAAGGTTTTTTAAAACTTACTGCTGTTTGGGGTGTGAGCAAAAATAACATTTTTAAAGGGTTTGGAAAACCCCAGGCCGACTTATCCGGAGAGGAAGTACAGTGCCTGCACTCTGAAGGAGGGGTGTTAATGTTGCATTTTAAAAACGTAGTGAAAAGCACCTTCGGGCAAGACAGGTAGAGTGAATGAGGGTTTTGAAATTTTTTTTTTTGGGCCCCCCTCCCTTGGTGGGAATGGGTCAGTGTGATATAAAAAAAAAATAAAAAATTTTAAAAAAAGAGGATAAATAAATTACAAGGTATGATGTAGACGAAATTTGAAAGTAGTTTATTAGATTATTTTTGGTGGATAAAGGTTGATGGGTGGCTCCGGGATGTACATGTTTTTAGAGGGGCAATGATATATCGGTCATTTTTTGTTGTAGACAGTTAAGTAAAGGTAGATGGGAAAAGAGGAAGGTGGCAACAACAAGTAGAGGGAGGTGAAAGTGAAAACTAAGGGGGGGAAGTTCGGGGGAGATATAAGGATATTGGGAAAAGGTGGGCTATGCAAAGTGAGTAGTGGGGGGGGGGGGGTTGAAAGGGGGTTTGGAATAGTTTTAAAAATGCAGTATTTGAATGTGGGGCAAAAGTTTTTTTGGTTATAGGAGGGTGGGGGCAGGGGAAAGAAAGGGGTTGGTGGAATGATGAAGTAAAGGGTGTGTAAAAGAGAAAAAAAGGTAGTTTGAGAGGTTTTTACAAAACAGAAGGTTCAAGAAAAGCAGAGTATATGGAGAGTAAAAGAAAGGTGAAGAGAGTGGTGAGAGATTTCAAAAGGAGAGCAGATGATAGAGTGGGAGAGGCACTGTCAAGAAATTTTAATGAAAATAAGAAAAAAATTTGGAGTGAGTTAAACAAGTTAAGAAAGCCTAGGGAACAAATGGATTTGTCAGTTAAAAACAGAGTAGGGGAGTTAGTAGATGGGGAGATGGAGGTATTAGGTAGATGGCGAGAATATTTTGAGGAACTTTTAAATGTTAATGAAGAAAGAGAGACGGTAATTTCATGCACTGGTCAGGGAGGTATACCATCTTTTAGGAGTGAAGAAGAGCAGAATGTAAGTGTGGGGGAGGTACGTGAGGCATTACGTAGAATGAAGGGGGTTTAAAGAAGCTGGAACTGATGGGATCATGACAGAAATGTTAAAAGCAGGGGGGGATATAGTGTTGGAGTGGTTGGTACTTTTGTTTAATAAATGTATGAAAGAGGGGAAGGTACCTAGGGATTGGTGGAGAGCATGTATATAGGAATAAGTTTACTGAGTATACCAGGAAAAGTGTACGGTAGGGTTATAATTGAAAGAATTAGAGGTAAGACAGAACGTAGGATTGCGGATGAGCAAGGAGGTTTCAGAGTGGGTAGGGGATGTGTAGATCAAGTGTTTACATTGAAGCATTTATGTGAACAGTATTTAGATAAAGGTAGGGAAGTTTTTATTGCATTTATGGATTTAGAAAAGGCATATGATAGAGTGGATAGAGGAGCAATGTGGCAGATGTTGCAAGTATATGGAATAGGTGGTAAGTTATTAAATGCTGTAAAGAATTTTTATGAGGATAATGAGGCTCAGGTTAGGGTGTGTAGAAGAGAGGGAGACTACTTCCCGGCAAAAGTAGGTCTTAGATAGGGATGTGTAATGTCACCATGGTTGTTTAATATATTTATAGATGGGGTAGTAAAGGAAGTAAATGCTAGGGTGTTCGGGAGAGGGGTGGGATTAAATTTTTGGGAATCAAATTTAAAATGGGAATTGACACAGTTACTTTTTGCTGATGATACTGTGCTTATGGGAGATTCTAAAGAAAAATTGCATAGGTTAGTGGATGAGTTTGGGAATGTGTGTAAAGGTAGAAAGTTGGAAGTGAACATAGAAAAGAGTAACTTGATGAGGGTATCAAATGATTTAGATAAAGAAAAATTGGATATCAAATTGGGGAGGAGGAGTATGGAAGAAGTGAATGTTTTCAGATACTTGGGAGTTGATGTGTTGGTGGATGGATTTATGAAGGATGAGGTTAATCATAGAATTGATGAGGGAAAAAAGGTGAGTGGTGTGTTGGGGTATAGTGGAGTCGAAAAAGTTATCTTGGAGGAAAAAAAGGAAAATTTTTGGAAGTATAGTAGTACCAACATCTTAAGGTGTAAAGCTTGGGTTTGAATGCAGCAAGAGGAGAGGTTGGAGGCAGGGGAGAGTCCTGTTTTTAAGGGGGAAGGGGTTTGCGTAAAATTGTGCAGAAAATTCGGTGGGGGAAATTGGAGAAGGTGTGGATTAATAAAAAAGATTATAGAGGGCGAAGAGGGGTTGTTGGGGTGGTTTGGCATTTAGAGAGAAGGGACAAAGAAAAAGACATGGAAAACATATAAATCTATAGAGGAAGGGAAGGGCGGGGGGGGTCGTCCTCGAGGTGTTGGAGAGAGGGAGTAAAGGGGTTTTTTTGTGGGCGGGGGTTGGATTTTTCCAGCAAGCGTGCATGACGTTTTAAATAGGAGTGAGGGGAGCCCAGGGTTTTTGGGGCCCTGCGATTGTTGGGTGGACAGGGTAATATTTTGTGAACGGATTAGGGAACCAGTTTTTTTCATTAGTCGGACTTGAGCCTGGAAATGGGAAGTACAATCCCTGCACTTTAAAGGAGGGGTTTGGGATATTGGCAGTTTGGAGGGATTTTTGTGTTTTTTATATGTAAGCTTCTAAACTTTTGTATTTGAGCACCTCTGAAAAAACGGATAATGTGTGGTGTGGTGAAAGAGTTGAATGAGAGAAAGTATTTTCTTTTGGGTTTTTCTTTCTTTTTTGGGTCCCCCTGCCTGGTGGGAGAGGGCCGACTTGTTGAAAAAAAAAGTGATAAAGGAAAACAGGAATTAAAAAGGGATGTAAATAGCATGAAAAAAAATTTCCCCTAGCCTACCCTAGACCTAAATAGCTTGTGCAAATGGGGGCAGATCCCCATGCACCTTCCTTTGGTTGGAAAAAACATGTTAGGTTGATAAATATAGTATTAGGCGGATAAACACATAAATGAGAGGGGTTGGGGTTTTGAGTGGGTTGCACATAAGTAAATAGAATTATAAAAGTTTATTGCTTGGGTTTTGCATTAAAAATTAGGTTGGGCCAATATTTGATAGTGGGAGGATTGTAAAGGACCTGCCTAATAGGGCCAAATCCCTGATGCAGTTTTCCCCTTTTTTATGTTTTAAAGAATGTCCCGACCTGCTAGGTTAAGGGCTTTTGGTTTAAAACTGGGGGGGAAAATTGGACCGCCTTGCAGGGGCCCAGTGGGCCCTGCTGCAGTGTTCTTGTGTCAGCGTAGTCATCTCTACTAACTCCAACGCCGCCATGTGGCAGCCTGCACCAAAGTGGTGTCAGTTGTGTCTCAGCATTTGTATGTTCACCATGCGTTGCTGTTCATGAGAACAGCAGAAGCATGTTCCTGGTTTTAATTATCCCCTTTTTTCTTTTCAAAACAGTGGACCCCCCAGGGAACGATTTTAATCCGTTCCCGGACTTTCCTTAAACCGATTTTATGTTATCCCCATTTAAATTTTTCCCCTAAGAAATAATGGAAATCAATTTTTCCGTTTCCCGCTTCTAGGAGGCTTGACGAATAGTACTTCAAAAATGATGCTATTATCAAAATCTACGGCTTTTTTATCTTCACAGTTTATCTAATATGACATAATAAACAATATAACATTGAAACATTGTTTAGGGTGGGGAAGTACATAGCGGCCGGCGTAGTTCAGTGGGCCCATATGCATTCAGCAACATTGGAGAGTTACTGTCATTTGGGTTTTTTTATCGTTACTCGCTTAACTTACTTGCTACACTGTTAATTCTACACTTTTTCAAGGCTTCCTATGCCTTTATCGATATTGCTGCTTTGTATTGTACACACGTAGAACGTGAATCACTGCAGAAGGACATTCACCCCCCTCTTTCCTCCTCCACTTTTGTATTTTCTACGGGTTTTTTTTTGAATTTTATTTTGGTTTCTTTCCTTCTTATCACGAGTTGGCACTTGAAATTTCTTTGGGCCCCTGGGGCTTTTTTTACAGTTTCAAGCATTAAAAAAAATGGAATAATCAAAAATTGGCGTATGCGTGGAATCGTCCCCCGGGGTTGTAAACAAAGGCACCTACCTTGTACATGGGTCAGGCCCCTCGACACCCTTCGCAACAAATGCCTTGGGGAGTTTTCATCATTTGGCCCAGCCCAAATTTTTTTTCGCAAAAAAGCATTGGTAACCATTTTATCGCTATCTGATGGCATCGTTACCCGAGGGTCCACCTACTTTTTTCTCTATAAATAAACCCCTAGTAGTATTTTCATCTTTATTTTTCCCACTTAGTGTGGGATTTATAGTTTTGCTGCAGTGTTTTTGTTTGATTATGGGGTGTGCCCAGACCCCCTTCATTCTAAATTTGAAAAATTCTGAAATTGAAACTCTGGCCCCCAAAGGGTTTCGGATAAAGGGATTGGATCTGTATTAAGTGGTGGCTAAACACTCGTTCCTGCACTTGAAGGAGGGGTTTTGATATGTTAGCTTTTTTAAAAGGAATGTAAGCTGCCTCTGGCAAAACAGTGATGGGGGGGAATTTTGATGGGTTTTTTTTTTTTTGGTCACCCTTGGGGGAGAAATTGCCCCATGTGTTTAAAAAAAATAAAATTTATATTTTTTAAAATTTTTGTTTTTGCTCAAAGTTGAATCAGATAAATACTCAATACAGTTTTTTTTTTTTTTTTTTTTTAAAATCGGCCGTCTCCCACCGAGGCAGGGGGAACCCCAAAAAAAAAGAAAAATCCCCAAAAAAAATACTTTCATAATTCAAAATCCCTTTACCTCATCCGCAATCACTTTTTGCAGAGGGCTCAGAACCAACAGCTTAGAAACAATACGATAAAAATACACAAATTCCTTCCAAATGCCAATTCCGAACCCTCCTTTTGAGTGCAGGCATTTTATTTCCCCTTTCAGGGTAAGTCCAGCTATATAAAAAACCAGTTTCTATATGCAATAAAATAATGTCATTACATGTAGTAAAAAAATTGTAGGCACAAAAGAGCCACTAATATGCAATGCATTTCAGGCAAGCTAATCCTAATGCTTAAATGTTACTTAAGATTTAGACATAAATTATTAAGTGGGATTTCTTATGCAGTTAACTACAATCATAAGTACAAAAAGACAGGTAGTTGTGTAACAAATGATACAATATAAAAGATATGACTTATTATTTCAAACTGATTCATTGATCTTCAATTTTGTGGAGTGATTGAATAGAGATGGTGAAGATACAGGAAGACTGGAAGAAGTCCAGGGACAGAGTTCACTTCATCTTTCATAGACCCATCTGCTGGCAAGTCCACTCCCAAATATCTGAACACATTCATTTCATCCATACTCTCTCCCTCCCATCTAATATCCAGTCTTTCATTACCTAAATTTTTTGTTATCCTCATCACCTTATTCTTTCCTATGTTCACTTTTAATTTCCTTCTTTTACATTCCCTCCTGAATTCTTCCCCAAACCTTTGCAATTTCTCTTCAGAATCTCACAGAAGCACAGTGTCATCAGCATAAAGCAACTGTGACCACTCCCACTTTGTGCTAGATACTCTATAAAATATCATTAATGTGAAGAAGCTCAATCAAAATTTAAACTTGTATTACAGGTTCACAGGAAAGGCCTGAGCCTTATTATGGCAGACTGCGATGGAGTTGTAGATCGTTTACATCTGCAGAAGCCACTAGATCGTTTGAATCGGTATGAGCAGGCCCAAAATGTCCGGGCACGAGTCCTATACATTACTCCACTTAGGAAAGTTGTACATTTCACACTGCAAAAAGAAGTTTTTGCTTCAAGGTGAGTGTTTTGTGATTTACTTTTCTTTTTATTTATACAACTAAATCCTTTGTTTTATAACTTTTTTTATAATAGCCATCTTCTGCCAAAGCACGGTAACCCAAAGAAGAAAATATTCTCCAACATTGATTCATTTGCCATCTTTCCAGAAGCATGCTGATGTTGCAATCATTACTCTGACTGCAATGTCCCCACCCCTCCTTCAGAATGCAAGCACTGTATTTTTTCCACCACCTGGGCTCGAGTCCGGCTAACCCAGTTACCCTTGAATCCCTTCATAAAAGTTACCCTGCTCAGACTCAGATATGTTATGCAACATTTAAAACCCATGTTTCACACCCATATAACAATATTGGTACCACTATACTCTAGTACAGTACATTCACCATTTTCCCTCCATGGATAACATTCTTTGTCTCTACAGATGACTCGATGCACCACCCACTTTTTTTTTCTCTCTCTTAAGCTCTATAGTTCACCTCATCTTTCATAGACCTATCTACTGACAAGTCCACTTCCTGATATGTAAGCACATTTGCTTTCTCCATATTAACCACAGCTTTGCTCTGGTGAATATGTTAGAACACATCTATCTTATAGTGAGGGAGACCTGCATAAGACATTAACATGTACATATTATTATACTATATTCTGTATATAACTCATCCCATTTTGCTTTTATATGTTTATTATAATGTTTTTACAGCCCAGAAAGTGATCCTCTACATGGGTTTAATATTGGAGACACTATAGAGGATGCAGAGATTTATCAGTCATCACGCAGTGGCGTTTATGTGAAGATTGGAAAAAACTGCCGAGGATTTTGCTCTGGGAATCATTTGAGTGATAATGACAAGGCATCAAAACATGTGGCTAGAGATTTCCCAGTAGGGACCAAGCAGATATGTCGTGTGATCCAGTATGATTATATGGACCAGCTATTTATTGTCTCTTTTCAAAAATCTGTTATGAAACAACAGGTAAGTTGGATTTTTGTTATAAGTTACACAAACGGAATTTATTGTTAGTGTTTTTTATATAGACCCAGAGTATTTGGTTGTCACTGCTTGCCCTGACACACTGTTATTAATTCAAAAAGGATCTTTAGCAATATAGTTCTGTTTTCTTGATTGCTATTTTTCTTTCAGCCATTGTACTGTAATGTCAGAAAATGCTAATTTTTCATCAGTACAGTTCTAATAAATACCTTTTCATTAACCCTTTCACTGTCGAGAAACCTGCTAACAAACTTATTCTCAGTGTTGAAGAATTTAAAAAAAAATTATTTTTCTTGTGAAATGATAGAGAATCTTTATCCAGTGGTAATGACACCAAAAGTATGAAATTTGATGGAAAACTTAGGGAATTACGCTCTCACGAAGTTAGCGACCTCGGTGATATTTACACATCGCCAGTTTTGCTCACTTTGAGCCCTATTTTCCACCAGTTGCATTATTCCAGTCGACCAACCTCATAGCTATTTCGCTAGAACTCTATTTGTTCTATCGATTGAGTACAAGAAACCACTCATTTACTGATTTTAACTACCCAATAAAGTGATCAGAAATTGGTAATTTGGTCAATTTCATACACAATTCAAGTAAGGCCAATTTCAAAATAGGGGCCAGAATAAACAGTGCAGACATTCCTAGCACTAAAATAACATTTTCTCTGTTCAGTAGTCATGTCTCCAGTCCCCTCTTATATTACGCTTGCTTTTCATTTTGAGTTTTTATTCACACAAAAAACAGAAGATTTACTGTTATGCAGACTACTGCATTATTGTAAAAATGGTATAAATAATATCGGTGCATTTGTGAAAGCATATTAGACCCATTAGTTGATATGTATTGTACATGTGGCGTGATTCATTTACTCTTGAACATTGGCAAAAATCAAACATTTCTGCTACTTTGAGCTTAATTTCAAGGTACTTTTATTCGAAAACCATTCAAAATCATCTCTATTTCTGTAATATATCTTCCATTCTATCAAATAAGACCCAGAAACTGAGAATGCAACGATAAATACCATGCAAAAGTACACCACAAAGTCCGTTTTTAACAAAAAACACATTTTTTTTTTTCTCATTATGCACTGCGTGCTGCAGGATTTTTTTTTATACTGCACACACTGACCACTCAGACCCATTCTCTCATATGTAGGCCTACCAGCTTTCTCCCGCAAGATTTGAAGCCGCTATAATTTTGGTGTACTATTACGGAATCATCACTGGCTTGCAAGCATAATATTACAGGACCGACAGTGAAAGGGTTAATAATTGTATAAGCCCCCATTCTTTCTTTATTATCTTTTATTTTTCTCGATGAAGTAAAACTCACTAATGAATTTTAGTGCATCACCAATAACCCTAGAACACTGGAATTTGAACCCTTTCAATTGAAATCATTTTCATAGCAGGGGGATTATATACAATGTATGTGCTGTACTGAATATAAAATAGGCAATAGCTTTAGCTGTCATTTTCAGGAATGTAACTACCATGTTAACCAACACAATAATAATTGTGAATTCTTTATATTTTTCAGGCTATCGGATATAGCGAGATGCAAGTAGGGAAGATTGTGAAGGGTATAATAAAAGGATACTTTAAAAATGGTGCACTGGTTACAGTCAGCAAACTCGTTACTGGCATTGTCCCATTCCTTCACCTCACAGATACACGAATGAAACATCCAGAAAAAAAATTTAAAGTTGGTACAGTGGTGATGACTCGAGTGCTTAGAGTAAATCAAGAAAATCATTACTTGATTCTTACCTGCAAGAAGCACTTGATAGAATCAAAGGCACCTATTGTGACAGAGTATACCAAGGATATTGAAAATACAGTAACAGAAGGTGTCATTGTGAAAGTTTCTTCTGCTGGCTTGCTCATTGCAATGTATAATGATGTGAAGGGATTTGCTCCCAAGTCGTTGCTAAGTAATGTACCTGTTGAAAAGGTTGAGGAGTTATTTTGTGAGGGACAGGTGGTGAGGTGTAGTATTTTGACAGTAGATCCAGAAAATAAAAAAATGAAAGTAAGTCTTATTGTTGATGGTAGTAATCACTTTGATAAGAAAAAGGGAACACAGCTGAAGCTAATGAGTCAGGTAGAGATGAGAGAGAGAGTACACTGTGTCATTAAGGAAGTTACTGAGGATAGCATCAAAGTTAGCATTCAGCCAAGAGAAACTGAAGCTGAAATTCCTATGTATCATTTGTCTGATGATATCAATAAGAGCAGGTTAATCAAAGACCTTTTACATGAGGGAGATGAGATTTATAATGCTGTGGTGTTCAAAAAATATGTTGATACTGTTATTCTAACTCTCAAGTATTCTGTTTATCATTGGATTTATGCTGAGGGTAAAACATGCCTAAATGCTGAATTTTTAGTCGGTGAAAGTTACCCAGCTGTGGTACATGATATTCGAACCTATGGATTAATGGCATCAATTCCATTGGGTAACCATGGACAAAACGTTCTTGTACATGTAACAAATTTGTTAAACTCTAATAATGAAATGCTTAAGTTTGCTGATCTTGGAATATGTGTTGGGCAGAGCATATCAGTTACTCCCAAAGGTAAGGACAGGAAAGACCGCCCAATTGTATCTTCTTTATTAGAAGATAACCTAAAGAATGTTACTCAGTCAAGTATTCAGTTGCTCTATAGCTACCTCAAGGATGAAGCCATAATCAGAAATAGGTGGTTAGACTGTTGTGATACAAAGAGGCTGTTGGCAAGGGTTAGGCCTGGTGACAAAATGCAAGCAAGAGTGACAGCTGTCACCCCTCTGGGTCTTGCTGTAACACTGAAGAAGGGTAAAATAACTGGAATTTTGTCACAAGATCATCAAGATGTTGAAGCCAAAGCTGAAGTTGGTCAAAAGATATTTGTTTGTGTTCTCTATGTAAATCAAGAGGAAGAGTGCTTGGAGCTGACAGCAAAACCAGACCTTTGTGAATGTCTCCATGAGAGGGAAACTAAAGAGATTAAAACTGAAATGACTGTTCAGTGTGAGGTTCTGCTTGCCAAGAAGAAGTTCATTATGGTTATGTTGAAGACCCGCTGCAAGGGAAAGATTGTCTATATGCCTTCTTTAAGACATATCAATGATTTTGAAGGTCAACATTCACTTTATACTATTGGTCAAAATTATCACATGGTGATTAAATTTGTTGATGGCCCCCTTGTTTTAGGAGTTTTGCAAGAGCATGAAAAGAAGGAAGATTTGAACATACTCTCTGAGCTACCAAGTATTTTATTTAAGTCAAGTGTTGATGCTCAGCCTAGGAAAGATGAACTTATTGAAACAGAATCTGACAATTTACAAGAAATGGCATTAAGGAAAATAGAGAGAGTTGTAACAGATTCACGGTATTCCACAAAAAATGTGAGGAGCATTACAAAAAATATCAATGACAAAGAGAAATTGAAAAGCTTGACAAATGATAATGTTCCTCAGTTTGATGAAGAGACAGTACAGGAAATTCAGAAAAAGAAGAGGTTGGAGAAGAAAAAGTTGCGATTGTTGGAGAGAGAGAAGGATGAAGAGGTTGAGAGAGTAGCTACAGAAGACCCACAGACTGAAGAAACAAACTTTAATGGAAGTAATAATGAGGTGCCAAAAGTTAGTACAATTAAATTATTTTTATTAATGTGGATGATATTATAAATATGTAGGGATACAGAGAAAAAGGTTTGTGATGCCAGTAGCAAGAGAGTGATAAACTTCTGCAACCAGTAAATATTTCCTCCATATTTATTCACTCAGTATCCCTCTAGATAACTCTTGAGAAGTCTTTCCTTTATCCCACTGCATCCCATAAAATTCAGGTTCACTTTAGTAATTGCACCCATCTTGTAGATTAATTACTAACTTTCTCCATTCATGTAGCTCAAGATCATTACCACTTCTAACCAAATTTGGGGCTCTGCAGTATAGCCACATGACATTATCCTTTCATTGACGCTGTCTCCTTTAAGATTTTTTCCTAGTCATTATAATCACAATGTTTAGACTATATTAAGCTGTTTATTGCCAAGGCTTTACATAGTTTCAGAAACACTAATATCAACACTGATCTTTAAGTTTTAACTTTCTCAATGTTTTTGGAAAGTATTTTCAGCTTAATTTGTGTGTGCTGTCGTACACCTACTAACCTGTCACTCCACCCCCAGTAAGACATGTCTTCAGCTCATTTTGAATGAAAGCAAATTTACTAGCTAATATTTGTAAAACCTGTGTGAGTGTTAGATAGGAGTGGGTGGAGGCAAGTGGTTATTATGATTTGATGTGCTGCTGGAGTGTGAGGAAGGTAGCATTTATGAAAGGATTCAAATAAACCGATTAGCCAGACTTGAGGCCTGGATATGGGAAGTACAGTGCCTGCACTCTCTCTAAAGAAGGGTTGGGGATGTTACAGTTTGAAGGTCAATTGAACCATGATGTTGACCCCTGTAGCCACATATGGGTGAATACAGTGATTGAATGAATGATGGTGAAAGTGTTTTTGGGTCACCTGACCTCAATGGGAGACGGTTGGTGTGTTAAAAAATAATAAAAAATTAATAGATTTTGTTAAAAGTGGTAGCTAAGAAATTAGTTGCTAGTGTCCTCATTTCAGTTAGCTGCTAACATTTTAGAAAGCTCATCATAATATTTATAATTCAGCGTAATTTTTACAGTGTTTATTACTTAATGATTTTGTGCAATTCCAGAATAAAAAACTAAAGAAAGAAAATAGGGGAGTTAGCAAGAAGATTCAGAAAATAAGACTTAACACTGAAGTGGATGAGGAGGATTCAAGAACTAAGTTGAAGTCTTCCTTAAAAAAGGAAACATGCCTAGCACTGGGCACTGGATTTGTATGGGAAGTACCAGACAGTGTTAACAATTTAGGAGAAGACTCTTCTGAAAGTGAAGATAAAGAAGAAAATAAAGTAAGTATTGTTTGCACTGTAAAAAAACAATATTTACATTTACTTAGCATTGGCAATAGGTTAAATGTTGTAGGTTGGTAGACGTCTACTGCCCAGGATGGTACTGTCATTCTGTTATGTGAAGAAAAAATGGAAACTTGTTAAATGTTTTCCATTCTTAGTATTATAGCTGGTCTTTTCTTTGTTTTGTGAACACGTAAGATGCCAGGTAAATTTTGCAAACATATACTGTACCTACATTCAGTGCCCCCCTCTGTGTCTTTACTTACCTGTGTGTTTGTAATAGTTTTTATTCATGTAATGTTTCTATCCCAATTTAGAAGCCTGAGACCCAGCTTCAGATGCAATGATCCCCAGAAGCATTATGATAACATTTTTTTTTTAACTGGCCATATCCCATCAAAGCAGGGTGACCCAAAAAGAAAAACAAAAGTTTTTCTTTTTTAAATTTAGTAATTTATACAGGAGAAGGAGTTACTAGCCCCTTGCTCCCAGCATTTTAGTCACCACTTACGACACGCATGACTTATGGAGGAAGAATTCTTTTCCACTTCCCCATGGAGATAAGAGGAAATAAACAAGAACAAGATTTATTAAGAAAATAGAAGAAAACCCAGATGGGTATGTATATATATGCATGGATATGCATGTGTAGTGTGACCTAAGTGGAAGTGGAAGTTGCAAAATGTATCTGAAACCTTGCGTGTTTGAGACAGGAAAAAAAGACACCAGCAATCCTACCATCTTGTAAAACAATTACAGGTTTCCAGTGGCAGTTCATCCATAGGAGCTGCAGAGCTGCAGTCCCCCCAGATGCTCACTGCCAAACATATGACTTCATCAACCTTGTGCTAAAATAATTTATAACTGACAAATATATTACCCTGTCTTGGTGGGAGACGACTGACGTGTTGAAAAAAAAGAAAAGTATGTTACAGGAAAAATCTGTTGTATGTTGTTTTCAATGTATTTATAAGCTAATTTTTAATTTTGTTGTTGAAACGAGATAAAAAATTATTAAAAATAGAGTGATGCAGTACGATAGTATAGGTAATACAGTGGACCCTCGACCAACGATATTAATCCGTTCCTGAGAGCTCATCGTTAGTCGAAATTATTGTTAGTCAAGTTAATTTTCCCCATAAGAACTAATGGAAATCAAATTAATCTGTTCCTGAAACCCCCAAGTATTGAAAAAAAAAAAATTTTACCATATGAAATATTAATTTTAATACACACAAACTGAAGAAGACATGTACAATTACATGACACTTACCTTTATTGAAGATCTGGTGATGATTGATGGGATGGGAGGAGGGGAGAGTGTGGATGGTGTTAGTATTTAGAAGGGAAATCCCCTTCCATTAGGACTTGAGGTGTCAAGTCCTTTTCCGGGATTACTTCCCTTCTTCTTTTAATGCCACTAGGACCAGCTTGAGAGTCACTGGACCTCTGTCGCACAACATATCTGTCCATAGAGCTCTGTACCTCCCGTTCTTTTACGATTTGTCTAAAATGGGCCACAACATTGTCACTGTAATAGTCACCAGCACGGCTTGCAATAGCTGTGTTAGGGTGATTTTCATCCATAAAGGTTTGCAGTTCAACCCACTTTGCACACATTTCCTTAATCTTTGAAATAGGCACAATGGATTCCACAACTGGCATAGGCTTCTCAGGGTTAGCCCCAAACCCTTCAAAATTTTTCTTAATTTCCATACTAATTCTCACCCTTTTTATCACGGGGATGGCACTAGAAGCTTTCTTGGGGCCCATGGTGACTTATTTTGCAGGTGCAATCACTAAAAACGCTGTGATAATATGAAATGTTCCGATTGTATGTTTGGATGCGACCGTGGTGGCTGGCTTGTAAACACTGCGTAGGCCACACGTGGACGCATCTCGAACGGAACAAATCGCGTTGGTCGAGTTTTTTAGTGCAAGTCGAGGCAAAATTTTTGCGTTAAAATGTATCGCTAGTCGGATTTAACGTTATACGATGCCATCGTTAGTCGAGGGTCCACTGTACTGGCATCACGAGCTGCCACTGCAGGTTTCCATTTCACACGCACTTGGCAGAACGGTAGCACCTCCCTGGGTGGTTGCTGTCTACCAACTACTACCTAGGATGATAACAGATATTAGTACGTATGTATTTACTATTAAGTTTGATACTGTGTGCTAGATGTGTGTGTGTGTGTGTGTGTGTGTGTTGAAATTACCTTTTTTTTCATTGCTAGGAAAAGAAAGTGAAGAAGCTAACAAAATCAGAACGAGAAATTCTAGCAAAAGAGGAGGAGAAGCGCCTGCATGAACTGGAATTAGCCCGGCTAGAAAAGGACCGTTTACCTGAATCTGCTCTTGACTACGAGGAACTTCTACAGCGCAGTCCTAACTCTTCAGCTATGTGGATTCAATTTATTAGCTTTCATCTAGAGGTAATATTTATTTTTTGTTGATAACTTTGTTACAAGTAATTGACTGGTTGTCCTGAGTTGCTCACAAAATCACTAAATGTGTAACATTGTAAAAATAGGGTTTTGTTCTTCAAATTTCCCAAAGAGCTATAACAAATTATTTTAATGTTATGTAAATAATCCTTTTCTTACATAACACTGTCAATGATGATGTTCTGTGAAATATGTTAACTCTAGTGAGACTCAGACAGTTAAAAGTAACGGTATGTTAGTTAAACAATGGTTACATTAACATTGTACATTATTTGTACATACCTCCAAGTTGAGTTCAGAATGCTTATTGTCTTGAAGTGAGCAGTGTGTGTGGCTGTTGTCCTAATGAGCCCTTGTTGAAGGTTGAGACACTTATGATGTTGGAGATTGGGGCTCATGTGATGTTGAAGGTTGGAATTCTTGTGAGGTTCAAAGCTGGGGCCCTTTGATGATGCAACTTTATTAGTTGATTGTTGCAGTAGAGTGCTCAGGTAGTCAGTCATATGCCACTGGTTTGTTTTAACCCTACAATTCTTTATACAGTAGACATTAGGACCCAAGCACCTGCTCCAGAGCACACTTTACAGCAATGCTTCGAGATGAGTCATGGTCCTTTTCAATAAAAACAAGTCTGTAAGTTTACAAATGGTATGCAGTGACTTGCACATCTTTTGCAGTGTCAGCATTGCTAACTCAGGCTCAGGTTCTTCATCCTCATCATCTTCCTTTCTCTGCAGTTGGGAATTTAATTCCAGCAACATTTCCTCTGTAGGTGGTTCTTCATCATCTTCCAAGAGTTCAGTGATGTCATCTGGCTTCATATCTTCTAATCCTTCACCTGGCACTCCCATTGCCAGAGCAACAAATTTCTGAACTTTACCCTCCCTGATAGAAAACCAATTAAATCATTCACTGCACTAGGCCATATTTTTATCCAACCAGAATTTAGTGTTGATCTTGGTACATGATCCCATGTTTTTTCACATAGGGAGGTGCATCTGCAATGTTAAATTTGTGCCCAAACTCTGGCACTTCACTGTCTGTGCTGTCAGTTGCTGCCACTAGATTATGCACCACAAATGCATGTATAGTGGCGCTTAAATATTTTGATAACTCGACCCAGTGGTTGTATCAAGGATATCATATTTTGTGGTGGAGATACAGTCTTGACACCTACTCCAAATCCTCCAAGAGTTGAGGATGAATACTACTACAATTATCAAAGACAAGGAAAACCCTGAATGCAAGGTTTTTCATGGACAGGTACATCCTCACTTCAGGAATAAAGTGATGCTTAAGTCACTCAGTGAAGAAGGCTTCAGTCACCCATGCTGTGGTGTTGGATTGCTAAATAACACCTAATGTGCTTTTGTCTTTTCCTTTTAAAGCACAAGGATTTTTGGAACAATAACTAAGCTGGGGTTTACATTTAAAATATCCTAATGCAAAGAAGTAAGCTGAAACAATCTTTTGCAGCCATTTTCTCTTGTTTGTTGATCTATGTTCTAGATGGCATCTTCTAGAACAAACCTGTCTCATCAGCTCTAAATATTTGCTCAGGTTTATAGCCACCCTTAGAGATAATGCTAGCTAGCTAGCTCAGCAGGTAACTTTTCTGCAGCAGCAAGGTTGGCAGAGGCACTCTTTCCACTGATCTTACATTACGTAAACCACTGTGCATTGTACATCTGTTAAACCATCCACAACTAAAATTGCATTCATTTTTGGGCTGTCCTTCCTCCTCACAAACTGTTTTATTGTAAGATAAAACTTTTTTCTCTGATACAGGCATATCTTGCTAATATAATGTTTTTCAATTACATTCATGTTTATTATTTTCAATAGTGATGTGCACATCAGCTGACTGGCACTCAGTTTGTTTACAAGCTTTGTGCTCAAACAGACTTTACGCTATTGCGCACTTAATAAATGATAGTGTAATCATATTTTTAGTTTTATGTGCACAGGCAAGTGAAAAAAAAGCTGTGATTCGCTGTTACGCGCCCCTACTTCACTCCATTATATACAAAAATAAAAGGCCTGGTTAAAATAAGTTCTATAATAATATATCGCGAACCACTTTATTACTAGCTAGATAAAGCAGGTTCGACTATATATTATTATCGGGTACAGTATGAATCATCAAAAGTACTCTCATTATATTATATTGTATTATATTATATCTTTCCCCATGATTATTATAATTATAATATTATATTATATTATTATTAAGAGGAGTGATTGGTGGAATGATGAAGTAAAGGGTGTGATAAAAGAGAAAAAGGTAGCTTACGAGAGATTTTTACAAAGCAGAAGTGTTATAAGAAGAGCAGAGTATATGGAGAGTAAAAGAAAGGTGAAGAGAGTGGTGAGAGAGTGCAAAAGGAGAGCAGATGAAAGAGTGGGAGAGGCACTGTCAAGAAATTTTAATGAAAATAAGAAAAAATTTTGGAGTGAGTTAAACAAGTTAAGAAAGCCTAGGGAAAGTATGGATTTGTCAGTTAAAAACAGAGTAGGGGAGTTAGTAGATGGGGAGAGGGAGGTATTAGGTAGATGGCGAGAATATTTCGAGGAACTTTTAAATGTTAAGGAAGAAAGGGAGGCGGTAATTTCATGCACTGGCCAGGGAGGTATACCATCTTTTAGGAGTGAAGAAGAGCAGACTGTAAGTGTGGTGGAGGTACGTGAGGCATTACGTAGAATGAAAGGGGGTAAAGCAGCTGGAACTGATGGGATCATGACAGAAATGTTAAAAGCAGGGGGAATATAGTGTTGGAGTGGTTGGTACTTTTGTTTAATAAATGTATGAAAGAGGGGAAGGTACCTAGGGATTGGCGGAGAGCATGTATAGTCCCTTTATATAAAGGGAAAGGGGACAAAAGAGATTGTAAAAATTATAGAGGAATAAGTTTACTGAGTATACCAGGAAAAGTATACGGTAGGGTTATAATTGAAAGAATTAGAGGTAAGACAGAATGTAGAATTGCGGACGAACAAGGAGGTTTCAGAGTGGGTAGGGGATGTGTAGATCAAGTGTTTACATTGAAGCATATATGTGAACAGTATTTAGATAAAGGTAGGGAAGTTTTTATTGCATTTATGGATTTAGAAAAGGCATATGATAGAGTGGATAGAGGAGCAATGTGGCAGATGTTGCAAGTATATGGAATAGGTGGTAAGTTACTAAATGCTGTAAAGAGCTTTTATGAAGATAGTGAGGCTCAGGTTAGGGTGTGTAGAAAAGAGGGAGAATACTTCCCGGTAAAAGTAGGTCTTAGACAGGGATGTGTAATGTCACCATGGTTGTTTAATATATTTATAGATGGGGTTGTAAAAGAAGTAAATGCTAGGGTGTTCGGGAGAGGGGTGGGATTAAATTATGGGGAATCAAATTCAAAATGGGAATTGACACAGTTACTTTTTGCTGATGATACTGTGCTTATGGGAGATTCTAAAGAAAAATTGCAAAGGTTAGTGGATGAGTTTGAGAATGTGTGTAAAGGTAGAAAGTTGAAAGTGAACATAGAAAAGAGTAAGGTGATGAGGGTATCAAATGATTTAGATAAAGAAAAATTGGATATCAAATTGGGGAGGAGGAGTATGGAAGAAGTGAATGTTTTCAGATACTTGGGAGTTGACGTGTCGGCGGATGGATTTATGAAGGATGAGGTTAATCATAGAATTGATGAGGGAAAAAAGGTGAGTGGTGCGTTGAGGTATATGTGGAGTCAAAAAACGTTATCTATGGAGGCAAAGAAGGGAATGTATGAAAGTATAGTAGTACCAACACTCTTATATGGATGTGAAGCTTGGGTGGTAAATGCAGCAGCGAGGAGACGGTTGGAGGCAGTGGAGATGTCCTGTCTAAGGGCAATGTGTGGTGTAAATATTATGCAGAAAATTCGGAGTGTGGAAATTAGGAGAAGGTGTGGAGTTAATAAAAGCATTAGTCAGAGGGCAGAAGAGGGGTTGTTGAGGTGGTTTGGTCATTTAGAGAGAATGGATCAAAGTAGAATGACATGGAAAGCATATAAATCTATAGGGGAAGGAAAGAGGGGTAGGGGTCGTCCTCGAAAGGGTTGGAAAGAGGGGGTAAAGGAGGTTTTGTGGGTGAGGGGCTTGGACTTCCAGCAAGCGTGCACGAGCGTGTTAGATAGGAGTGAATGGAGACGAATGATACTTGGGACCTGACGATCTGTTGGAGTGTGAGCAGGGTAATATTTAGTGAAGGGATTCAGGGAAACCGGTTATTTTCATATAGTCGGACTTGAGTCCTGGAAATGGGAAGTACAATGCCTGCACTTTAAAGGAGGGGTTTGGGATATTGGCAGTTTGGAGGGATATGTTGTGTATCTCTATACGTATATGCTTCTAAACTGTTATATTCTGAGCACCTCTGCAAAAGCAGTGATAATGTGTGAGTGTGGTGAAAGTGTTGAATGATGATGAAAGTATTTTCTTTTTGGGGATTTTCTTTCTTTTTTGGGTCACCCTGCCTCGGTGGGAGACGACCGACTTGTTGAAAAAAAAAAAAAAAAAAAAAATTATTATTAGGTTAGGTATTACGAATGTGTAACCACTACTGTAGTGACCAATTGGTGGTTCTAGAATTGACGCCACGCGTCGCCTTCTGGCAGAGCTGAAGTCATACTATGGAGTAGTTGAGTGAGTCAGTCAGCTCCTAGCTCTGACTCGGTACGGGTCTTCAACACAAAGCTCCTAGCTTAAACTAAAACTTTAAACCAAGTCTATTGTCTTGTCTTTGCCATTAATTTCCTGAAGTCTGGTAATTCATGTCACTATGAAAGATAACTATTTCGTTACCCTAGACCTTTCTAAAAGAGTTAAATGGTGAGATTAGTAGATTATTAATTGAAATTATTGTATCTTACTCTGTTAATGAGAATTTGAACGTAAGATTGGGTTTCTTGCTGTATAGTATTTCATTTATAATTGCTTGTGGTTATTTTAATTCACTAACCAAATACAAATGAAACTAAATGATTGGTAATAAAATAAAACTAACAAAAAAAAAATGGAGTTATTTGTGCCCCTATTGTTACGGTGAAGATTAAGTCGTAACATTTGCTTTAAGGTAATATTTGTTTAACAGCTGTAGTCTGGAACCTAACCTGCAAGGTATGCCTGTAATAAAGCCTTCAAATGGAGCACTTCTTTTTGTTTTTTAATCCACACATTTAGTAAACTTGCTGTTTTATTGAACTGTACTGGCCTGTTCCTCATTCAGGATTACTCATTGTACTCTTCGCACAAGCCCTTATCTTTACCTCATTGTCTCAAATTGACCAAATTATTCATTCCCTAACACCAGACAAGCATCACCAGTGGAAATGAATTCTGCTCTGGCACTTCTTAGCAGAAATGTGTGCCACTAATAGCAAAGAATTCCACTCCCACACCTTATTGGAAATGGTTCACTTCTTTTGGAAATGTAACCCTAAATTTAAATCATGTTATATTGAAAATATGAGTTATGATTATGCAAATTAAAGTTTTCTGCTACTTTTAATAAATGACCTAACTAAATTCTTGGGTTGCTTTCTTCCTTGCAGAGTGCTGAAGTCGATAAAGCTAGAGCAGTGGCACGACGTGCTCTTCAAGTGATAGATATTCGTGAAGAAGAAGAGCGACTCAATATATGGACAGTGCTGTTAAGGCTGGAAGTTCTTTATGGCACCACAGAGTCTGTTGGTGAAACTTATCGTGAGGCACTAGCTGCAAATGACCAGCTAAAGGTGCACTTGGCTATGGCTATGGTGTATGCTGAGAGCAATAAACTGAAGGTACGAAACTGGTCTTCTCTGATAACAAAATAATGCTTTCTCTATTTTGTGTGAATATACTGACTGTCTAGATTGGAGATAAAAATTTCACTGTACCTGCATTGTATATCACTTCACACGTAATAATTTAAATACATAACACATTTGCAAACAGACCATGGAATGAGTGGGCTTAGAACTCATGGCAAGGAGTTTTATGACTCACTCGTCATGGGTTCAAATCTTGCCTGTTCTGTGGTTTGTTAATACAAACCATCCTTTATACACTGATGGCTCCATGTCTTCTGCAGGGATGTTGAAGAGGATATTCCCACTGTCTTTCCTGATTGCATTTTTTAAGGGCACTTCAAGCAGTGTGCCCAATATTTTTACTTTCAAGTTGTATTCTAGGGGGCAAGGGGCTAGTAACCCCTTCTCCTGTATACAGTACGTTTGTTTTTCTTCTTGGGCCACCCTGCTTTGGTGGGATAAGGCCAGTTTGTTGAGAGAAAGAAGTTGTAATCTAAACTTGCAGCCTTTATATATATATATATATTACTGCTATATCCACCTCTATTTATTTTTTTTTTTTTTTTTATTATCACACCGGCCGATTCCCACCAAGGCAGGGTGGCCCGAAAAAGAAAAACTTTCACCATCATTCACTCCATCACTGTCTTGCCAGAAGGGTGCTTTACACTACAGTTTTTAAACTGCAACATTAACACCCCTCCTTCAGAGTGCAGGCACTGTACTTCCCATCTCCAGGACTCAAGTCCGGCCTGCCGGTTTCCCTGAATCCCTTCATAAATGTTACTTTGCTCACACTCCAACAGCACGTCAAGTATTAAAAACCATTTGTCTCCATTCACTCCTATCAAACACGCTCACGCATGCCTGCTGGAAGTCCAAGCCCCTCGCACACAAAACCTCCTTTACCCCCCTCCCTCCAACCCTTCCTAGGCCGACCCCTACCCCGCCTTCCTTCCACTACAGACTGATACACTCTTGAAGTCATTCTGTTTCGCTCCATTCTCTCTACATGTCCGAACCACCTCAACAACCCTTCCTCAGCCCTCTGGACAACAGTTTTGGTAATCCCGCACCTCCTCCTAACTTCCAAACTACGAATTCTCTGCATTATATTCACACCACACATTGCCCTCAGACATGACATCTCCACTGCCTCCAGCCTTCTCCTCGCTGCAACATTCATCACCCACGCTTCACACCCATATAAGAGCGTTGGTAAAACTATACTCTCATACATTCCCCTCTTTGCCTCCAAGGACAAGGTTCTTTGTCTCCACAGACTCCTAAGTGCACCACTCACTCTTTTTCCCTCATCAATTCTATGATTCACCTCATCTTTCATAGACCCATCCGCTGACACGTCCACTCCCAAATATCTGAATACGTTCACCTCCTCCATACTCTCTCCCTCCAATCTGATATTCAATCTTTCATCACCTAATCTTTTTGTTATCCTCATAACCTTACTCTTTCCTGTATTCACCTTTAATTTTCTTCTTTTGCACACCCTACCAAATTCATCCACCAATCTCTGCAACTTCTCTTCAGAATCTCCCAAGAGCACAGTGTCATCAGCAAAGAGCAGCTGTGACAACTCCCACTTTGTGTGTGATTCTTTATCTTTTAACTCCACGCCTCTTGCCAAGACCCTCGCATTTACTTCTCTTACAACCCCATCTATAAATATATTAAACAACCACGGTGACATCACACCTCTATTGTTGTTATATATTTTAAAATGCTTTGAAAGTACAGTGTCTACATCCTCAAGGAGGAGTAGAGATGTTGCAATTTGGATGTCTGCAGACTTCTAGGAACACAGCTATTGAATGGGGGGGGGGGGTCACCCTACCTTGATGGGAGACATCCAGTGGTGAGATAAGAAAAAAAAAGATTGTTCACATTCAATGCTTGCTCTGGTGCATCCTTAATGGAAACAAGATTTGTCTTCAAGTCTCTAACCATTACATTGTTTTGAGAACTCATTTACGTTTTCAAAGTCATTCACGTGAATTAGTAAACTAAGGAGACAACTGTAGACTATCAGGGATCAAAGTATTAAGTCTTAAAAATTAGGAGAAGTATACATATTGTAATTATTATAAGAATAACAACCAATTACAAAAACATGCACATACGTTTATGTTGTTTTGAATTTATTCAGAATCATAGTTAAAATTAAAATTGTTACACAACTGTATTCTTATTTTGAAGAATAAATCTTGATCTTTCAACAGGAGGCTGAAAAAGTGTATTTCATAATGACTAAAAAGTTTAGTCAAAATTGTGTTGTTTGGATCAAGGCAGGAATCTTCTTCTTTAGCAACAATATGGCAGATGAAGCAAGACGTTACATGGAGAAAGCTCTACTTTCCCTGGATAAAAAGTATCGTATGTAGACAAATAATTATTTTGCGAATAATTTATTAATATTCTGAGCATTATATATAGATTCTGTTTATCACAATTGTTGAAAAATAGACATTAGCGCATGTGTACTTTAGATAAAATTGTATTTTTCAGATGTGAAATTGATTAATCGTTTTGGTCAACTCGAGTTCCGTTTTGGGGAGGCTGAACGTGGCAGAACCATGTTTGAAAGTCTCCTTAGTAATTACCCTAAGCGTATTGATATTTGGAGTGTGTATGTTGACATCTTGACAAAAAAGGAAGATATCGAAGGAGCAAGGTAAATTCATAGGATTGCAGTTAATCAAAAGTTTTTGTTTTCGGGTCACTCTGCCTCAGTGGGAGACGGCCAGCATATTAAAAAAAAACTTGAATGGCATACTAGTTAAGGTATTGATATCTACTTATTATTTGACATGTATAATATAAACCATGATTGCTTATAATAGTCTTATTTATTTATTTATTTATTTATTTAGTAATTTTAGCATACATACAGAGGTACAAAAAAATACAGGTAAGAGCAGCATGCCAAAGCCACTTATATGCATAGCATTACGGGCTGGCTTAAAATTAACTTAAGATTAACTAAGCAATGATGAAATCAGTGATAAGACATTATTGTAAACAGATAACTATAAAGCACAAATGAGTATTACAAAGACAGGTCATATGGTTGAATGCATTGCTGTACATTCAGTAGAATGGAGTATTCTGTTAGGTAGTGTATTTAAAAAATAACAAAGTTAGATTGGGTCCTAGGTTTAACATTTATGTGATATAATTGTGAGTAACATTTAGGATATACAATTTATAAGGTTCAGTTATTCAGTATTTATTTGGCTTTGGGTGAGTAAGTGATCTTTGAGAAGAGACTTGAATTTATAAACAGGTAGTGTTTCTTTTATATTTACAGGTAATGAATTCCAGATTTTAGGGCCTTTTATGTGCATTGAGTTTTTGCATAGCGTGAGATGGACACGAGGAACATCAAAGAGTGATCTGTGCCTTGTGTTATGGTCACGTGTTCTGTTGAGGTTGGCAAGGAGATGTTGGAGGGGAGGGTTAATATCAGAGTTAAGTGTTCTATGTATGTAATAGGTGCAATAATAAGTATGGATGTTTTGTATGGTGAGTAGGCTGAGTGTTTTGAATATTGGTGGAGTGTGTTGCCTGTAGTGAGAATTTGTTATCATTCTAACTGCAGCCTTTTGTTGGGTAATTAGTGGTCTGAGATGGTTAATTGTTGTTGAGCCCATGCACAAATTCCATAGGTGAGATAGGGGTAAATAAGAGAGTGATAAAGGGCCAGGAGGGCTGACTGTGGAACATAGTACCGTATCTTCGATAGTATGCTACAGTCTTGGAAATTTTCTTAGAATTTGTTGTATATGTGTATGAAATTTGAGTCTATTATCAAGGTGGATTCCTAAGAATTTTCCCTCTTTTAGCTTTGTGATAGGTGATCCGTTTATCGTTATGTTAAGAGGTACATCTGTAGCTCTGTTACCAAACTGAATGAAGTAGGTTTTGTCAATGTTTAATGTAAGTTTGTTAGTCCTCATCCAGGTAGATATTTTCTGTAATTCGGTGTTTACAGTATTGGCTAGCGTGACTGGGCTCGGGTGAGAGAAGACGTATGTAGTGTCATCTGCAAAAAGTGTGGGTTTGAGTAATTGCGAAGCATTTGGTAGGTCATTTATGTATAGGAGAAAGAGAAGAGGGCCAAGGACACTTCCCTGTGGGACACCAACTGTAATTGGTTGTGCGGAAGAGCTTGCCCCATTTGCGTACACATATTGGCTTCTGTTGCTGAGGTATGACTTGAGGTAGTTGAGGGAGTGCCCTCTAATACCATAGTGTGACAATTTTACGTGGAGCAAGCCCATATTCAACTGTATCAAAACCTTTACGTAAGTCAATGAAGATCCCCAGTGGGACTTCTTTTTTCTCTATTGCAGTGTACATATGTTTAGCATGTGTATAATAGCATCATTAGTATTTTTATTAGGCCTGAATCCAAATTGGCAGGGGTTGAGAATGTTTTGGGAGATGAGGTAGGAGTAGATTCTTTTATGAATTAATTTTTCGAAGAATTTTTGAGAGGGGTGTAAATTGGATATTGGCCTATAGTTATTCAACTCTGTTTGGTCTCCTCCTTTATGGATCGGGGTGACCCTTCTTTTTTTGGAACTGTAGGGAAGGTGAAGGATTCAATGGATTTGTTTAAAGAGTGTTGCAATGATTGGTGATAGTACTTGTGACACTTTTTTGTATAAAAAGGGGTGGTAAGGTATTTAAATCTCCTGCCTTGTTTTTTAGTGCGTTGATAATAAGGGAGACTTCGTATGGGTTAGTCGGAGCTAGGAACAGTTTTTGTTCGGTAGTTGCCAGTGAGGTAGTCTTTGGTGGGGATCTGAGCTTGGGATTTATTGGCAAGGTTTTGTCCTATAGTGGAGAAGAAATCTTTGAGTCTGTTTGCTGTTTCTGTTGGTGGGAGTTGGGGTTCATCTGTTTTTTGCAAATTTTATTTCGCTATTTCGTGATATCTTTTTTTTTCCCCAAGAATTTCTGATAGGGTCTTCCAGGTCTTTTTTATATCACCTCGTAAGTTGGATAATCTGTTCTCATAATACAATTTTTTTGCCTTCTATCAGGGTGGTTAGGATTGACGAGTAACGTTTTGTTTGGTCTCTGGTTATGTGACCCATTCTGTACTGTTTTTCATATCGGTGTTTTGTATTTATGGATTTGAGAATGCTGGGTGTTTAGCCAGGGACTGTTCAGTCTCTTAGCTGTCATCTGTTTAGTTTTTTTTAGGGCAGTGCTTGTTATAGAGGTATTGGGTCTTTTTTAGAAAATTATTAAACATTCGTCAATATCTGTATAGATTTCTAGCTCAGTGTGCCAGTCAATGTTTGTTACTGCTGTTGTGAAGTTATTAATGGCTGCCTCGTTGTGAAGTCTGAAGGTGACTTTAGTAGTGTCTTGGGGTATTTTACCAAGAGTTGTTATGAGGAAAGTAGGGTAGTGGTCTGTGGTATTATCTGTAATTATGCCTGATTTTAAAGGGGATATGGTGTTGGTCCAGATGTGGTCAAGTAGGGAAAACTAGTCTCCCATAACTCTTGTAGGTTTTGTTACTGTTGGTAGCAACATGCAGTTACTCATTGTGTTTGTGAATTCAGTAACGTGGGTCCTGGTCTTGCAGGAGATTTATATTGAAGTCACCTGAGAGTAGTAAGTGATCTTTGTTCATGCGTGCATCAGTTATCATACTTCCTAGGTTTTGACTAAATTGGCTGATGTTTGATTGTGGAATTCTGTAGATGTTTATTACTGTGAGGTTTTTGTGAGGTATTTGGATTGAATTTAGCTATTATATATTCCCATGTTTCATCCCTTGTGCAAGTATTAGTGATGCATTCTAGTTGGTCTGAGTAGTATATAGCTGTGCCACCCCCTTGTTGGTCTGGCCTACAGTTGTGTATGGCTGTGTAACCAGGAATGGCATAGACATCTGTAGTATCTGGCTTTAGCCAGGTTTCAGTTAGTGTAATGATGGACATATTGGCATGCAAGGAATTTAGTAATGCTATGAGGTCATCGTAATGCTTGCTTAAAGATCTGATATTGTAGTTAAAGATAGTTATGTTGTTGTTGGCTCTGAGAAGAGTGCCTTTGATTGTTCTGCTGTGTAGTAATTACAGTAACTGTTTGATTCATTTAAGTCATTAAATAAGAGGTTGGTATCAGGATCAATGCTTGTAATCATAAGATTTGTAGTGAATCTATAGTTAGAATTAAGTATAAACAAAGTAAATATTCTAAAGCTAAAAAAATAGCACCTGAATTATTTAACAAATGTAAAAAATAATGAGCTAAGGTAGTTTTTTTAAAGCTAAAATAAAGGAGACAATATAAAAGGGACTAAAATAATTTGTGGTGAACAAATAAAGTGATGATCAAATAATGGAGCTTGGAAATATGATAGTAGGTAGTACTTTAAAGGTAATTCTTTAAAGTTAGAATTATAATATAAAATTATAATATAAAAGGGACTAATATAAGTTGTGGTGAACAATAAAGTGGTAATCAAATAAATGAGCTTTGGAATATAATGGCAAAATAGTGAACTTATTAACTTTAGCACCTGAGAATAGCACCTTGATTATTTTAACAATTGTGAATATATGAACTAAGGTAGTTATATAAAGCTAAAATAAAGGAAAAAAATATATAAGGGACTACAATTAAGTAATGGTAAACAAAGTTAAATGGACAGATAGTCACTATGAAATAATATTGGTTTAGGAGTAAGATCTGATTTGTAATATTAAATAAGTTGAGCAGTTTATTGCACAATAAAAAGTAAAAAAATGAGGTAGTTGGTACTACCTAGCAAAAGATAGTTTTGGTACTTGCAAAAAAGTAATTGGAATATACACTAATTGCACACACAATAAAAAGTGACTAAAAAAACAAGTAGTGGTAAACAAAATTAAATGGACAGGTAAGAACAATGAATAATATTAATTTGGAGTAAGATTTGACTTGTAACACAAAACTATGAGCAATTAATAGCAGTAAGAAAGAAGTAAAAAGTATTGGAGGTAGTTAGCATTAGCTAGTGATGAAAAAAATAATAATAATAATGCACAATATAATAGTAAGGTACACTATATGCACCACACGTATATATGTATTAAGGGCACTTATCTAATCTGTTACAGAAATGTCAGCTTTTCTAAGGAAGGTAGAGAAATCATGTTCGTTTGAGATGGTATATTGTTGTCCTGTTGATGTTTTCCTTACTAGTATTTTCCCATCTCGCGTGAAACACTGATGTATTTTGTTTGAAAGATATTTGACTGGGATGCCATTGTTCTACTAGCCCAAAAGCCAGCAGAGTAATTTGTGTGTCATTTACTAATGTACGTTTGAGCGTAAATTTTTTTTTAGAAGATAAGGAATCGTTGAAATCATCACTACCCCTCCTTATCTCCAAACCATCCCCCATCCCCATTCTTGTAGTCAACACAATCAAATCAAAGCAGGGAAACAGTCATGCATTCAAACCCATATGAGCTAGTCTTACAACTAGCAGACCAGTGATAGCTCAAGTCGAGCCTATTACCTGGGTTTATTACTATATGTATTACGATTTTTGCAAGTGTCATAAATTACCTGTTACAGTGTACTCATATAATTAAAATCCCATTGCATCTTAACATTTAACCTACTAAGTGGTATCAGTACATTCAGTGGTTGTTTTATACA